AACCGAGCCTACGTCGAAGGCCGTTTTTACCCCTACGGCAGCTGGCGGTGCTTCTTCTGCGAAGCCATTAACCCGGTGACCGAGGACCAGTGCCTCACCACGCACGCGGGCGGCCCGAATGCGGGCGCCCCGTGCGACGGCCGATGGATCAATGGGATCGACATCGGGTGGTGGGAGGTGGATCCCCAAACCGCGCCGGAGCAATGGCGGCGGAGGTTTTCTGCCGAAGAGCTTGAAGACCAACAAGCGCGGGCAGATGCCGCGAGGCTCCTCAGCGATGAGGAACTCGCTGAAGCCCTCCAGGCGGCCGAGGAGGCGCAGGCGGCCGAGCGCGCCAAGAAGCGGGAGCGGCGCCAGGCGGAGAAGGCGGAGCGCGATGATCACATCAGCGAAGCGCTCCGCATAGCAGGGTGGCAGTGCCCTAACTGCTATGAATGGAACCTTTCATTCAGGCAGCTGTGCTTTAGGTGCAGCACACCCCTCCGCTTGGCAGAGGTCGTGTCCCGCGGGATCCCGGATCCGCGGCGCGGCGAACAGAGGGACTCGGGCTCCGAGAGCAGCCAAGATGAGCTGGAGTACGAGATCCTTCTGGCCAATCGCGCGATGGATCAGGAAACGATCCAGCCTCTTCTTAGAAGCAAACACAAGAAGAGGGGCGGCAAGAGACGTCGCGAGGAGGCGACGCACGGCAAGGGCCGCGACCCTTGGGGTGCTTGGGCAGACGCCCGTGGCAAGGGCCAGGGCAAGCCGAAGGGCAGAGGCAAGTCCGATGCCAAGGGCAAGCCCAAGGGGAGGGGCAAGTACGCCTGGGGCGCTTTCGCCGCGGGCATTGTTGCCGCGCTCCAACCCCGCCCAAGCACAAGCTGGGTCCCAGCTTTCCCGTGCGGGTCGGCCCGGCCGCCGCCGAGTGTTCCGCTTCCGCCGCGGACCCCCTTTTTCCTGGGTCGCGGGCTCCTCAATCGGTTGATGCACGCCCTCAACGGGAACATCAACGGCTGGTGGGGCCTGGCGGCTGCAGCGTCGGCGCCGATTGCCTTGCAGTTGCACCGCGGGGTCGTGCATGTCGTCGAGGACTCCATGCACGCGGTTGCAACGGTTTCGGCCGACGTTGTTGAGGAAATCGGCCATGGGGCCAGGCGGACCGTGTGGGTCGCCGGAACAGCCATCACTCTGGTAGCATGATCGTGCGGTGCTGTTCTGTGGTACGTGAGTCGTGCCGTTGCCAATCGCATTGCGCATTTGCGACATGGCAACACCGCGGCCCCTGAGGCGCGGCTGTCTCAGCTCCTTGGCTCCGAAGCGACGTTTGAGGTCGCGAGCACCAAGAAAGGGGTGACCCATAAGGTTTGGGTGCATCTCAAGGAGGAGACAGCTGCCTGTGGCTGTCGTGCTTACCTGGCAGAAGGACGCTGCGGGCATTGCGATGCCGCAATGGACACCGCTCGTTCCTTAGGGTTTTTGCACGCGGCCCAGCGAGGCGCGGGTCCTGCGCTCACAGACTCCATTCGGAGTACCGCCTCCGATGCCCTAGCTAAGGGTAAGGTGGTGTTGGGTTTGGGGAACAGTGAAGGGTGTTTCTCCCAACTCGCGGCCAAGAGCCGCGGGCTCTCCTGCTTTCAGGGGCTCGCGGGTCGTGACCTGGCCGCGGCCCCAGCAGATGGAGCGAGCGCAGCCCACGCACATTCCGGCTCCGTGCAACGTGCCGCCACTGCCACGGTGGCGCGCACGCCAGGCCGGAGGAACAAGGGCCCAGCCCCCGCTAGGAGTTCTCCAGTCAAAGAAGCGGAATTCCTTGCGGGCGGGCCATACATTCAGGCCGCCCAAACGCTGCTTGGGTCCGGAGCAGCAGAGGATGTGATCTACATCCGGGCTTGCAGCTTAGATTGCCCATCCTGCGTCGAGGCAATCGAAGCGTCGCTTGGCAAGGGCGCAAGCGTTCGGATTGTCGCCGACATGGGACAATGCCACCGCACCAAGCTCCAGTGGCAAGCGTTGAAACGCTTGGCGGCCGCAGGTGCCGAGGTGAAGGTGGGTTGCGGCACATCCTTGCGCGACGCCTATGCTCGCGACGGCCGCGGGGCTAAGGTAGGCACCGGGATTCAAGGGCTGCACCATGCCAAAGCCCTTTGCCTACTGCGGCCTGACGGCGCGGTGGTGCTGATTGGGAGCCTCAATTTTACCACAAGCAGCAAGGCCAATGCGGAGGCAGGGCTTAAGCTTGAGGTCCCCAAGACGCACCCTGTCGCGCAGTCCTACGTCGAGGAATTCCAGAGGGTGTCGGCCGAGGCATTCTCCCTCGATGAGGCGGTTGCAAAGCGCCCTCAGTTGGAGCGAGCCAGTAGCTCCAACGTTTCTGGCAACGCCACTCGTGCCCCCAACACTGCTCCACAGGGTATCGAGTAGGCTGCGGCCAGTTGGCGCGGCGTGGTATGTATCCACGCATTATCAGAGCCGGCGTTGCAGCACGGCACGCTGCTTCGCCAACCTTTTGCACTTTCTT